AAACAGGTGCACCAACACCATATGTGAAGGGTTACTTAAGCAGGGATGAATGATTTAACATTGTTTATATTAAACTTGTCATTTGCAAGATAACCCTGAGACTGTACAGGCTTGTTGCCTAATTGCAGAGTTACATGCATGATGCAACTGATGCTATTAGTGCCAGATTGCTTTACAGCAATGGTAAACAACATTGTTTATAATAGTAAATGTTCCATTTTCACAAAGTAAACTACTGCCTGCACAAACAAATTAAACAATCAAAACTCCTTGCTCCTTGGTATGTCAAATTTAGAACAAAGGAAGTAATTAATTAAAACTCTTAACCACTAATCATACACGTGGAAACACGTGGAATAGCAAAGGGGCGGGGTAGAAGGATTGTTGATGTTGTAGTAGGCGGGGCTTAATTAAAATGGTGGATGAGGCTTATCTTCATTTCTGGCTCTAAAATTTGGCCCCGTACTTTTAACAGAGACCATAGCAGTTGAATATTACCTAACAAAGATCATCTCTTCAAGCTGAAACATCCTTACGACCATTAGAAGATTGAGAAGCTCAAAACAGAGCGATGAATCACGGGAATGGAGTAGTAGGCGGAGTGGGAGGAGGAGGAATGAAAGGGAACGAGACAGACTGTATTGTAGAGGTATGGGCCAAGAACATGGAAGAGGAGTTTGCTAGAATAAGACAAATCGTTCAAGAATATCCCTACATATCCATGGTAGGCAGTAAATACTATTAATATGCATGTATATGTAGTAGGATGCTGTGAATCACTTGTACTGTTATTTTCTTTTAATACTTATTTTAGACACACTTTTGTACATTGTAGAATGTCCTTATTATCAAGGGTGTAAAGTAAAATGTATAAGAACTATCAGAATAATTATAAAAATTGAGAATTCCCTCTTTTTAATTGTGGTGAAATTTGGCCCAAGACTGTGTACTATAGTACAGGGACTTTTAACCGATTTTGGAGCAACTTTAAAAATTCATAAAAATGTAATTTTGATCGGAATTAGCTCAAACTTTCTACACAACATAAGTACATATATATGCATCAGAAAACATTATAAAAATGGAGAATTCTCTACTTTTCATTTTGGTGAAATTTGGCCAAAGTCCCTGTACTATAGTACAGGGACTTTGGTCTAATTTTGGAGCAATTTTAAAAATTCATAAAAAGTCTAAAATTGATTGGAATCAGCTCAAACTTTCTACGCAACATAAGTACATCTATATGCATCAGAAAACATTATAAAAATGAAGATGTCTCTACTTTTATTTTTAGCCAAATTTGGCCCGAGACCATGTACTATAGTACAGGGACTTTTACCTGATTTTGGAGCAACTTTGAAAATTCGTAAAAAATCCAATTTTAATCAGAATCAGCTGAAACTTTCTACACAACATAAGAACATGTATATGTATTAGAAAAAAATTATAAAAATAAGGAATCCTCTCTTAGTCATTTTTGACGAAATACCTTCTACTATAGTACAGGGATTTTTGGCC